TAATATAGCAGGGGGCAGATCTAGAATTAGACCCAAGCTGGTTTTGCCTCCAAAATGTAATTTGGTTCAAGGTAAGGGTAGATCTGAAAGTGAATCCGAAGGAAAATCAGAGGCTAATTAGGGATCTGATATCCTTCAGGTTCTAGCCTACAGACCAACTATTTATTTGGTGGCTGCCATTTTAAAATCTACAGTCCCTTCTATCTCTTGCCCACTCCCTGATGGATTTGATCCACTTTAGTTATTTGCCAGTATGGCTATGTCTGGGTATGCATTTGAGGTTACTGCAAATAGGACCCGACTTGTAAAAAGATTTGGAAGGAAGAGTAATCAAATTTACATTGTAGAAAGACAATTTGATAGCTTAATGGAAAATAGAGAAAGGGAACCTGAGCGATCCTTTAAGAGAATATTCCAGTCATTCAGACTTGCCTGATCTAAAAACAGAAACACTGGGAATTCAAGAGTAGGGCTATCTAAGTAGGAAACTAAGACTAGAGTTGAAGGAGTAGGTAAGAATGTGATAATGTAACTTTATGATTTAGCAATGAGGACATGGATAAACAGCAAATAGTAGAGGAAGCAAGGGGGTTGGGAGAAGTGAATTCAGTTCCCAGTATTCATGGAATGGCCAAAAGGTCACAGGAAAGAATTTATGCCAGTTTGGAGCTTGGATTGCTGTCTAGGCTGGAAAGAGAATTGGCAGCCCTCAAATTCCTCAGCCCTGGGTTGATAATATAGAAGCTATTAGTTATGAAATGGAGGAAAGGAAAAGGTTGTGAAAGGCAGGAAGAGGTTTTGGAAGCATAATTGAGAGACTGCCAGACAGCACTGATTCCTGAATTGTAGTTGCCCCTACTGAAGATTGCCCTTTCCTATAATATGGAGAGTTAAGAACTTAGTATTCATTTGCACCAAGTATAAACTTAGTCTGCTGAGATTACTCACAGGGGGCTTGTAACAACTCATTCTTTTATGCTGCTGAAATTAGTTTGGGGTTGTAGGATATAACTAGTCTGAGCAATTTAGAACCACCTGTGGTTTATAGTAACAGACAATATTGGGATGAGGGGCTTGAGAGAGAGTCACTGAGAGTGGTTAGGAAGTTGTTAGTGGAAACTTGTTTACTTTGAAGTGTTGTAAGTGTGATCTCCTACTAACCCACTAGAGGAACTATGTGGCAGATTTTCAGACCCACCCCACACCAAAGGGCTGGAATACTCTTATACATAACCTTTCTCAACCAAAGCTCCTCTTTGCGACCATAAAACACATAAAATTATTTTTATTTTCTCATTACTCCCAGGTTTGATGTATATCTAGTACCACTCTAGCTGTACGAAGGAGGCATTAATTCCTTTCATTCAGTGAAAGCCTTTACAATTTTAAGAAGTTGAGAAAAGGAAATCATAAGACATTTATTGTTATGAAATTCAAATTTTACTGTTTGTAAATTTTTATTGCAACAGGACATGCCCATTGCTCGTTACCTTTCCTATGGTCACCTTTGCACTACTGTTACATACGTAACTGGATAACTAAGACAGACTACATGGCCTGCAAGGCCAATACTCTCTGACCTTTCCCAGAAAATTTTGGGTGACCTGATGTCTTAAGATATAGGACTCAAGTCTCACAGAACTGGTTGAGAAGGGAGTTTTCTGACCATGGGGAAAATTACACTCTTTGAATTTGTTTGATGCTTTATTTACAAAATATGTTTAATTTCCAATGTAATATGAATACTTTTCTTACAGATTATGCCTTCCCATACATTATATTAGTGTTATCTTTGGTTACTCTGGCTGTATACATGTCAGCTTCTGAAATAGAGGTAGGCAATTTTTCTTCTTTGTTAAATTTTTTTGGCCATATTGACTATAAGTGCATATGCTATGGTAAAGTAAAATTGGTAGTTTTAGTAATCCTTGACTAACCGATATAATCCTAGCTTCTAACTCCTCAGTAAATTTATGGAAAATTCTCTCTACTACATTATTTCCTTCAGAAATTAAATAGTGAAGTAGTCAGACTGTTACATAGCATGAGGAAGAAAAATCATCTCATGTAATTTACCCACAGAGCAAGCAGAATTTTTAAACTTTATCCTGATAATTGCAGTACATAATCATTAGTAATTAAAGTATAGATGACATAGAATGTATGTCATCTATTTTTTATTGTCTTGATTATGGATAGGTTTCTTTTACCCCTTAATATGTATAATATTTTTATATTTAGAGATCATGTTAGTAATAGCCACATTAGTTCTGATTCTGATCTTTCCTGAAGAGAAGTGCCTCTTTTAGTATCTCAGCGGAAGGTCACTGTTAAAAAGAATCCTATTTTGTTGTTTTCATTACTTAAAGAATACTTAATTTCTGCAATATGGCCCATGTAGATAAGACCATATGTATTTAATAACGTGCATTACCTCTGTACAACTGGGAAAAAATAATTTTTAACATTCTAGATCATGGCTATTAGTTTCTGTGTAATGCCAACTCAACCCAGTAAACTGGGTTGACCTTTTCCAGGTTCTTCAGTTGTCTAAACAAAATTACAAGCAGCATGCTCCATTAAAAAATTTCTAGAAAAATCTCTCTATATATACTTACATACAGATGTATATTGTATATATATGTAAGTATATATATTTCAGCATATTTTGACCAAAAGTTACATTTTGACTTATTTATAGGTTAGTAGAATAAAATAGAATTTCATGTCATCACAATTGTATTTTTAAGTATTTTTAAGGAACTAAGCTATTATCAATCAAAAGTAAGAGTAATAAATGAGTAGTCACATTCATTAAGCTTTTAATACAAAAGTGTATTTTTGCCTATTTGTTCATGTATAGTCATCTGAAATTTTCTTTCTAAATAATGTGGCCGGGGCTAAAGCCCAGCGTAAGGGTGCGTGCTCGGTGCGCGCGCAAGGCCCTGGTTCGGTCTTCAGCCCTGGGGTGTGGGGGGGGAAGCTAAATAATGTGGCCCTCTGTTGATGCTATTGATGTCGCTTTTTCTAATATAGGTAAGAAAGCACAGGGGCTACCTAGATGTCCTAGTGACTTTTAGGAAGACTATCAGTGGAAGCACTAGACAGAATATGTTGATGGAGGTTACTCAGTTCTCATTTAAAGCTACCCTCTTTGCTCCTTATAGTCAGCATTGCAGTATGATTAATTAAGACAGAAATTAGCTCTATACATTTATCAATTGTAGGGAAAGATTTGAAAGGAGAAATGTTTGGATGATTGAATCAAATGAGGCTTTTGAATTTGTTATATATTTGTTATATAATTATAAATTAGGCATGCACTTATAAAATTAGCTTGAAATCTACTGGTTCTCTGCCTCTGCAAATCGCTCCTACATAAAATATACATATAGTTCATTTAACTCTATACACACAAGTCAGAAATAGGTACCTGCATCAGGGAAAGCAGCATTAGGTGAGTTGATGGGTCACATATAATGATAAGAGAAAGCAGATGACTGTCTACTACAGATTACATGTTATATGTTAGCACATTTAGATGATACTTAATTGATCCTTCTAGTTTCTGCATATTATAGGGTATTGTTAAGAGTAAAAGAGGATAAGGATATTCACATGCCATTTTTGCTCCCTTCTAGTTATTCAGGCAGAATACTCTGAGAATGCTAAAGGGTGAGGAAGCTTCGTTTACGTACCTCTTATGTCATAGCTCCATGGGGCGGGGCAGGAAGAAAGAATGTAATAAAGAATTCCTCTTGTAGTTTACATCTTTCAAAAGAATCCTTGCTGTTTCCAAGAGCAAACAGCAAGCCTGGGTGATTCTTACATCCTTATAACCTCAAATATTCTGTGATTGTAAGGCTATGACTTTGTGTGAGAACAGTTATCTTGCTTGTTCAGTTAATAATATGTATTTCTCTTTTCTTTCTTTTATAAAATGATATAGAACTGCTATGATCTTCTGGTTAGAAAGAAAAGACTTATTGTTCTCTTCAGCCACTGGTTACTTCATGCCTATGGGATAATCTCCATTTCCAGAGTGGATAAACTTGAGCAAGACCTACCCCTTTTGGCTTTGGTACCTACACCAGCTCTTTTTTACTTGTTCACTGCAAAATTTACTGAACCTTCACGGATACTCTCTGAAGGAGCCAATGGACACTGATGTATGGAACATGCCAGAAAACTTAAGAAGTATTCTTAATAAGTCAAGTTTTTTTTATTATGTTACCACTGTTCTGTCATATGTGAGAACAACTTTATCAGCAAACCTTAATGCTTGTGAATTTTTTTACTTTTTTGTTTTTTGGCTAAAAAAGCCTTATGGTTGAACTTGGAAATATAAAATACCAAGATACTCTGTTATACAGCATACCGTTATCTATTACACTAAAAGCCTAAAAGTTCTTCTTTGGAGTGCCACCATGTTTATGGAATCTAGCATGGATTATTCTCATTTTTTTTTTTAAAGAAAAACTTTAGGTCTGGGGACAGAACTCCAGTGGTAATGGCTCTGGGTTTAATTCCTAGAACTTCCAGCAAAACAAAACAAAAAATCCTGCAGCCTCACCTCCTGGGGAGGCAGAGGCAGAAGGATCCCAGGTTTGAGGCCAGTGCAGGCAAGGTAGTGGTGAGAGCCTGTAAAACTAAGTAAAAATGAAGGAGCTCAAGTGATAAACTGCTTACCTACCATATGCAAAGCCCTGGTTCAGTGCCCCGCACTACAGGGAAAATTAAAAAAAAAAACCAACAACTCCTTTTAACAAAATTACATTCTGAAATCCTAAGCAGTAATGTAATTGTGCATGCCTATTGTGTTTTAATATGCCACCTGTACTGAGGTACAGTGTCAAAGATAATTGTTTAGTCTATAAGCAAACATGGAAATAAAGTATGTTGTTTTTATTTATTTTTGCCAATACAGTATTTTGATAATATAGAAATAGAACATAATTTATACACCATTTTTTTGTTTATAAACTATGTAGTAGACATGTTCATATTATGGTTCCTGTAAAGAAAACAATGATAAAAAGTTTTAAGTACAAAAACCTCAAATGTTCGGATATACTAATTATGGAAGTAACTTCTCAAAATGTTGAATAAAAGTATAGTGTTTCTTCTGAAATGAATAAATATATGTACTCACATAAACCCTTTTTCCTTTGTCTCATTTTTTGAAAAAATCTATATGCCATACTTTATTGAGACACATTTTTTCACATTGTTATATTTTGGAATGAAGATGCGTCTAATGATTCACAGAGTGCTGCTAGAGTGAATGAAATACAGAATAGATGTTTTCCTATAGTTGGGTTTTTTTTTGGATCCGGTCGTGGGGCCTGAACTCTGGGCCTGGGTACTGTCCCTCAGCTCTTCAGCTCAAGGCTAGCGCTCTACCACTTGAGCACAGCACCACTTCCGGCTTTTCTTTTCTTTTTTTTGCTTATGTGGTGCTGAGGAATTGAACCCAGGGTCTCATGCATGGTAGGCAAGCACTCTACCACTGAGCCACCTTCCCAGCCCCCTATAGTTGGTTTTTGATGATGTTTATGCTTTCAGGTTTCAAGAGACTCAGGGACAGTCATGAAAACGAAATAGCACTTAACCTTATAATCCGGCTACAGATTATATTATTATCTATTTGTATTGTTTAGACAGTTACTCTCTGGCTCTGCTACTTGTTGGGTAAATTACTTCATAAACCTTGAAGAGTCCTATGACAGTTGCAAAATGTGGAAGTAGATGTGCTCACCTTTACATTAGTTTTGTCTGTGCTTTTTGAAGTTACAGCAATTGTATCCTTGATTTTATTAGTTATTCTTTGTTAATGCATTTTCCTACTACATTTAGAAGGTGGACTTCTGGCACTTTTGATACGTCTAGTTTTCTTCTTTTCTGTAGGAATAAAAAAATATATTCTTGTTTGTTCAGGAATGGATCTACCACTTTATCCATGCCTCTAACAAATAGGAAAATCAATTATGAAATTCATGTGAAAGCACAAAAGACACTAAGTAGCCAAAGAAATCTTGAGCAAAAAGTAGCAATGCTGGAGGTACCACAATACCAGACTTCAAATTCTTTTACAGAGCCACAGTAACCAAAATAGCTTGGTACTGGCAACAAAAGCAGACACTAAGACCCATGGGACAGAAGACACAGAGGTAAGGCTACACAGTTATAGCCATCTCCTGAGGGGTGGGGGCAGGGAGGGGAAGATAGCCTTTTCAACAGATGGTATTGGTAAAACTTGATAGCCACATGTAGATGATTGATATTAGGTCTCTCTGCAAAGTGGATCAAGGATTTTAATGTAGAACCTGAAAGTTGGTTGTTTTGACTTAAGCCTTTGTAGCACCTTAGACTTTTCACTGTAAATGGTAATTATTTTGTTAATCAGCCTGAAATAATTTGAAAGTCAAAATTTTTTCTGTTGATAAATCTAACAAGTACATTGTTATATACTATCTAAAACCATTGGTTTGTTGAATTGATTTAAAATACAGTCTGAGCCTAGGAATTTTATTCAAACCTCCCTGTGGCTCTCATATTTAAGAGTCTGTGGCCTAGATTCTTCATTTAGTTTTTCCAAGAGATAATTGCTGTTAAAAAATGATTTTTCCTTGCTGAAATTATAAAAGTATAAGTAGTTTTCCAGAATTAAATGCACAAAATACAGCCAGGCACCAGTGGTTCATGACTGTAATCCTAGCTACTCAGGAAGATGAGATCTCAGGATCTTGGTTTGAAGCCAACCAGGGCAAGAAAGTCAATTAACCAGCAAAGAAACAGAAAAGTGGAGCAGTGGTTCAAATGGTATAGTACTAGTCATAAGGGGCAAAGCTAAGGGACAGAGCCCCGGCTCTGAGTTCAAGGCCCAGTATTAGTACCAAAAAAAAAAAAAAAAAAAAGCTCCAAATGTTCGTAGGTATATCAAGTAGTTTTCAATCAAAAACATAACACTGCAAATTAAATTTTTAAGGCTGTAAAAATATTGCAGGGTTGGGCTTAATGGTTAATCCTTGTATAAGATAGAACTGGAGGATTACAGTTCAAATGAGTACAAACAGAATAAATAAATTTAGGTAGAAGGAAGAATTGGCAAATAATTCTATAGTATTCAACCCATAAATGAGTGCCAATGTCTATTTGAGTGTGACATATTAGAGATAATTTTTTTCTTTTGATGTCACCAACTACAGTAAGATAACAACACTATCTTATCAAAGACATGAAAGTATTGCTTACGACGGTCCTCTGGTAATTCCTCCTTCATGATGAGACGTAGCTTTTTAATATTCCCTTCGAGCCACCTACTCATGTTTTCGATGCTTTCATCCCTCTCCTTCAGTTTCTTTATTAGAGTTGCTAGTTCTTGCAAGATCTCTTCACCATTACGCCCTGAGTCCTTAAAGAAAAGGAATTTGAAAAAATTATATTAGTGAAGTAAGCCAGGCCCAAAGAAACATAGGTCCCATGGTTTCCCTTATTTGTGGTAAATAGTATATGTCTGGGACAAGCAGAAAAGGTCAAAAGCTATGTACATATGACCATATAAGTTAAGCAAAACAAACCTCAAGGTAGGGACCCAAGTGTTTTTTTCTTTCTTGCTATTGTTTTTTAACATATTTATAATGTACTATGTGATTTTTTTTGTTGTTTCTTTTGTATGTTCTTCCCCCAAGGTACAACCCCTGTTTTCACTGTTTTTGCTTCTGGTGTCCTGCATCTTGTATATACCTTTTTCTAATTTGGGGAGGGGAAGGGAAATAGCAAAATGCCGAAATAAGGATACAGGTTGACCCATTGTAACAATGAGATGTACAAGACACTATGTTGAAAACAAACTTTACAACTTGGGTGGGGGGAGGGAGGAGTTGGGGAGGTGGGGAGGGAAGGGATGGATACTAAGGGGAAAACAAAAGAGGAGGTAACGATGCTCCATAGGAAATGTATTCATTATCTTACTCATGTAACTGTAACCCCTCTGTACAGTATTTTTACAAATAAAAATCATTAAAAAAAGAAAAAAAAGCCATTTGAAGTGGGGGGTGTAAGTGTACCAGTCGCAACAAAATATGCATTCTGAAAACAAAAGTAATGTGAAATAAGTATGTGTATACAGCCAGTTTGCAAAGTTCTGTAAAAGTGCCCAGAAAAAAATGGATTATTAAAGGTCAAGATTGAGTAGAATTCCCACTGACATTGCCTTTTTCATGTGTATCTGTGTGTGCTAGAAAACAGGGCCTTGGCACTGTCCCTGAGCCTCTTTGTGCTCAAGGCTAGCACTCTACCACTTGAACCACAGGCTCACTTCTAGTTTTGAGTGGTTAATTGGAGATAAGAGTCTCATGGGGACTTTTCTGCCTGGGCTGACTTCAAACTCTGATCCTCAGATTTCAGCCTCCTGAGTAGCTAGGATTTCAGGCATGAGCCACTAGTGCCCAGCTTTTATTTATTTATCTATCTATTATTTAGCTCAATGCTAGCATTCTACCATTGGAACCACAGTTCCAGTTCCAGCTAATTGGAGTCTCATGGATTCTCATACTTGGGTTGGCCTTGAACCAACATCTTCAGTTCTCAGTCACCTAAGGATTATAGGTATGAGCCACCAGCACCCAGCTCTGACTTTGACTTTTTAACTATACAGTTGGGGGTGAGGTGGTAGAAAAAGCCAGATCACCCTCAAAACAGAACTGCAAAGGAGCTAAAGTTTAAGATAAGCAACCTTGGAACCAAATGAGATCTGCCTTTTAAGTTTTTAAGTTTATTGATTGGGTCTTGGAAAAGTTACTAAGACTCGGCTGCCACAGCTTCATTTTCAGAAGGAATTCTGAAGATGTCTTAAGGGCTACTAAAGGATTGTATGAACACTAGTATTTAAAACTTAGTACATAGGCAGAGCCTGGCTTGAAATCCTAGGCTACCTAACTGTAGTGAAGAGCCTGTTACTGGCTGGTGAAACATGATGATAGACTGCATTTAGGACTGACTACTTTGTCCAAAAACAATAATGTGTTTAAGCTTGCAAGGACAGAGAGAAAAAAAATGAGAGGGGGATGGGAGACTGGCAGATGAACCCCCACACACACATGCACACATATACACAAAGGCAGAGAAACTCCCAAATTAGAAGTATAAGACAGTTTCCTAAAAAATTAAGATTTCATTGGCACAATGAAAATTTTTAACTATGATAGTCATAAAGGTACTGTCAACCTCCTGCAGTCCTGGATTCTTTTTCAGTTTTGGTCGGTCTTGGGGTTTGAAATGTGGGCCTGGCTACTGTCCCTCAACTCAAGGCGAGTGCTCTACCACTTGAGCCACAGCAGTACTTCTGGTTTTCTGGTGCTTTATTGGAGATAAGAGTCTCATGGACTTTTCCTGCCCAGACTGACTTTGAGCCATGATCCTCAGACCTCAGCCTCCTGAGTAGGTAAGATTACAGGCATGAGCCACCGGTGCCTGGCTAGTACTGGATTCTTGTCCAAATATGTATGTACACCTCCCCCCTACACACTCACCTTAACTGTGGCCTGAAATTCTGCCCACAAATCTGTGTATCTTGCTAAAAGATTTTAAAAAATAATAGTTAGTGAAATAATTTGAACATTTTTGTAAAACTAGCTTTAGTTTTCTTATAGAAATACTTATCAGTACTTATACAATTTAATGGGCTTCTCTTCATACATATGTGTGTATATATATTTATATATATATATGATATATATTAAAGAACATATATATGACATATGTATATATATATATATATATTTTATATATTCACCTCCTCATTGTCCTAGCGTGATCTTTTTTGCACTGGTTGGTTTTTTTGTTTTTGCTTTTGTCGGTCATGGGGCTTGAACTCTGGGCCTGGGCACTATCCCTCAGCTCTTCATCTCAAGGCTAGTGCTCTACCACTTGAGCCACAGCGCCACTTTGTAAATAAGAGTCTCACAGACTTTCCTGCCTGGCCTGGCCTTGAACCGAGATCCTCAGATCTTAGCCTCTTGAGAAGCTAGGATTACAAGTGTGAGCCACCAGCGCCAGGCTTGCACTGATTGCTTTTGAGATAGGGTCTTATTTTTTGCTCAGGTGTGACTGGACTGCAATTCTCCAGTTTTCTGCTTCCTGTCATAGTTGGGACACGAGGGCATTACCCAAACCAGCTATTTGCTGAGAAAAGTTCTTGTGTGAATTTTTTGCCCAGGCTGATCTTAAGCTTCAGTCCTGATCTTGGCTTCCTGAGTACCTAGGTTTTTAAGCATGACCCACCATGTCTGGCTAAAATCTTATACATTTTGCTGAGTCAAAAAGCCAAGCACAAAAGGGCACACATTTTTTTTCTTTCACTTAATTTCTAGTGTTGAAAGCAGAAAAGTGGATTCTAGAAAGTGGAGGAGAATTGAGAGATCAACCCAAAGGAGACATAAGGGAACATTTGTAATGATAAAAATGTGCTATGTCTTGCTATGGTGGTAGTGGTTGAACAGTTAATAATATTCATTGACCTTCAAACCAGGACATTTTACTCTATGCAAATTGATAAAGCCAATCTAATGGGTCCATAAGACATTATTCACCTTGCTGAGCTAACAGCTGCCAAGACAGGTCATTGGAACTTTGCCCAAGGAATTCTCTTCCTTTCTTGTAGTTATCTGCTTCATTCCGCAAGTAGGCCATATGCTGTAAAAGAGAGGTTTGTTGTTGCTTTTAGGAGTCTGGTTACTGTGTATTTTAAATAGGCATGTAATCATTTAATGAACCCAGAACCTAGACTTACTTTCCTGGTGCTACCAACTGCTCTAGATGAAGGGGGCAAATGGCCAATATCCTTATCAAGCTTCTATGGAAGGAGAAAGACAGAGGATATTCTGAATGTAAACTGATACGGTAAGAATTTGAAGAGGTGTGCTGTCTGAAAGCATGAAGTCCCAAACAAAAATATTGCCGGGCGCCGGTGTTTCACGCCTGTAATCCTAGCTACTCAGGAGGCTGAGATCTGAGGATCACGGTTCAAAGCCAGCCCGGGCAGGAAAGTCCATGAGACTCATATCTCCAAGAAACCACTAGAAAACTGGGAGTGGTGCTGTGACTCAAGCAATAGATCACTTGCCTTGAGCTGAAGAGCTGAGGGATAGCGCCCAAGCCCAGAGTTCAAGCCTGACGACTGACCAAAAAAAAAAAAATCCTGTGCCAAAATGTACAAATGGAAATTTGAATTATTTTAATAAATAATAATTATCAGAAGAGAGTCTATTGGAATACTTTCACAAGTGGATAAAATTCCTTCTAAGTTTGTTCCAAGGGCTAGAAAAAGAAGATGTGTTTCACATGTGAGGCTCTGAGACTTAGGCTGTTTGGAGCACCATTGCTTTTTCAAAGAACATTAGGACTTATTAAGCCATGTATGTATGTATGTATATATGAATGTTTGTGTATATGTATTTTTGTGCCAGTACTGGGACTTGAACTCAGGACTTCACACTCTTTCTTAGCTTTTTTTGCTCAAGGCTAGCACTCTTCCACTGAAGCCATGCCTCCAATTTAGCTTTTTGCTGATTAATTGGAAATAAGAGTATTATAGACTTTCCTACCTGCTCTGGCTTTGAATTGCTATCCTTGGATGTCAACCTCCTGAGTAGCTAGAATTGCATGCACCTGCCATCTGTGCTTTGCCTATTTTGCTATTTTAATACTATCAACACCCCCCCCAAGAGATTGGTAGGATAGCTATTGACATTTTACAGAAGGGAAAAAAAACCTCACCCATATAAGTGAAGAGAATTAGCCAGTGACTATGCCAATTCTTTTTAGACTTATTGCTGCAGTGCTCACTGTTTTATCTAACATCAAAACATTTTTAAATCATATAAAGTCTTAGTTTCTTCCTCTGTAAAAGGAATGTAACATTCCCTAATTTATCAGAGTATTGTGAATATCAAACAGACTGAATACATGCTAACTAAGCTTTGTTACTCTTGGGAGTACACTGATACAGATTCTGACCTTCAGATCATTTTACGTAACTGAAAAGTTATTTTATTAAAAAAAGTTCATTTACTTTAAACTTTCAGTTTACAAAGAAGTTGCATTTTTTCCTATAAGGAATTACTGCTATTTCAAGAAGACAAAAATGGGAGACATTAAGTATCTGCCCAAAGTGAGTGTTAGCAGCGGGTGGCAGAATCTAATTCAGGCCTTTCAAGCTGGGATATATTATACAAACTTTTGTTATTACTGTTTTTTTGTCACACAATATGAAATGTACAAATTATGCATTTTAAAGACATATAATACAGATTATATATTCTTTTTTTTATTGTGAAAATACCATACAGAGGGGCTAGAATTATATGGGCAAGGTAATGAGTACATTTTTCTTTTTCTTTTTTTGGGTCCGGTCGTGGGGCCTGAACTTTGGGCCTGTCCCTCAACTCTTCAGCTCAAGGCTAGCACTCTACTGCTTGAGCCACAGTGCCACTTCCGGCTTTTTTCTTTTTGCTTATGTGGTGCTGAGGAAT